TTTTTTTTTTTTTTTAAGGGGTGGCTGCTTACAGACTGAAATTATTTGAGAACAGATTAGTAGTCATTTAGTGTATTTTATAGGTTCTTAATATTTGACCAACATACTTTGGCACTGAAAAGTTGAAGTACTAATACTGTCTAACAGATGCTTTTCCTATAAAGTAGCAATGTTTACCTTTTGCCATGTAGGTTTATAAAGATTTCCTTATAGCTTAATAGATTCCTTTAATTTTTTTCCTGATGCTTGTTACTAAATGCTGTAGTTAATAATGTGATTATAACATATTTTCTTGTCATAAAGATATTCTTTATAAAGCTGTGCATCTGACCTAACATTCCAGTTAATGGATCAGTGCCTTCTCATTTCATTGGCAAGAAGCTATATCTGCTAGAGCTAACTGAGATTCAATAAGAAGTATCCTCTCCTAGCTCTTTAATTCTATGAGTATAAATAACATGCAGTTGTGAAGGAAGCAATAATGAATACTTTATGAAATCTGATAGGGGTCATGAGTCTGTCATGCTACAAGGAGAAGATGTAAAGCGCATCTGGGAAAATACAATTTGCTATAATGAGACTGTATGCTAAATATTAAATGTTTTCTCCTTGCTTTTTTACCTTTATCTATAATATGACACACTTTTTTTACTTTATTATGATAGTATTTAAATCGTGGCTGCACCAGATACTTTGCTACCAAAGAAACAGACAAGCAAATTTTGCAAAATCGCAAAAGTCCTGAGGTATGGTATATATTTTACACTTTTGCTATTTCAGATTATTGTCTAATGCAGACAGTTATAAAAAATATAGATCATATTTATATTGACTGAATGACGCATTCATTTTATACCTCTTAGTTTGTAGGTTTAAAGGTAAAATGCCAACATTTAGAGCTCTAGTTTTGGAGAGCAAATAGTACTGTTTGATCAAGTTCAACACATTATTCTTTTAAAAAAATTAACTCTTTCCTGTAAATTGTGTTTATGGTACTTCTGTCCCAGACCCCCTCCCAGTTCAAGTTAACTCATCCCCCAGCATCCCCAGATGCTTTTCAACCCTGGGCTGCGCAGTCTGCTTAGTGGAACAAGGTTGGCCCAGTCTCTACTCCCTGGCCACAGCACTATCACCACTTTGGCTGGCTGAGAAGGGGGTGGGGGAGAGGCTTTGGACCCCAGCTGGGGTCTGCCTGTTGGGGGGGGGGGG